AAATATCAGACCAGTGCTGATGCTCGTATCGCTATATCGTTTACGGAGTAGGATGTGAAGCGAAGGGATTGATATGAAGCGGCTGCGGTGCTGCAAGAATATATGAGTACATACATGCAGCCGTATCTACCGTAGCGGTTATTGGCACGATGCCAACGGGGAACTCGTCCGAAATTGCTTTCTGAGTCGTGCAGAACAAAGGCTTTTTTGCAGGTTTTTGACTTCGCTTTTTCGTCATTTTCCCCCACTATGTAACACCCCTGCCACCATTCCAGACCGAGTACCAAATTGTACAGGGGGGGGGGGGCAAAAAAAGTCACTTCGACCGAGTCACATATCAGCAAAGTTTTCGCTGCCCAGCAGAGGACGTGGATACGAGTACCAGGGCGGAAGATACCCAAGATGTTCCTCGATAAGCAGGAGCTGGCTCTCGCCCATCACCTTCATGTACACCAAAATATGAAGTCATCTCCAGTCGCAGCCTGACTGGAGAAGACCTTTGGAATTCATGTCACCTCCAAACAGCTGCGAAACTTCTAGTATGGAGTCACCCATGGATAGCTACCTGGAGACCAGTACTCTCGATCTGGATGACCTCCAACATCGAGCAGCTCCGACAACGTCGCCACGGTCTAGGACATCATCTTCACCGCAGTCGCCAAGGCGCGGGTTGATGGTATGGACCGGACGTACCTGGAATGGAAAGACCAATATTTTCTTCGTGGACCCCGGACTGAAGGTGAGCGCTGGCGGTTACATTGAGCAACTCGTGAAGAATATCCTCCTCACATGTCGTCGCCCGTACCTTCTTGGAAACTTTGTACTGCTACAGCATTGGGTGCCACCACATGGAATCGAAGGGCGTTGGAGAAACTCTCGCCTACTTGGAATGGAAGGGGGCTGAATACCTAAAGAAGGTGGAATATCCAAGTAGGTCACCTGACCTGAATCCCCTCAATTACCCGGTTCGGGCGGAGTTCAATAGGGTGGTCTACGGTGGCGGAGAAATCGACTATCTCGCTGATCTCAGGCACCACATCGCGGTCGTCGACGTGCTCAGAATCTCTCGAATGGCCGCTTCGTCCAGAACGGCTGTTGGAGGAGTGTTCATGATAGTCAGTCGTGCATAACCTTGCGCTTAGATAGTCATAATGTCATGTCGCGGCTGCGTGCGGCGCGGTCGCCCGCACCCGTACTGCACCAATCGTTGAACCAGAAGTGACATTACTGTATTATATCGTGTTACTCGTTTTCTATCACTTTTTGTCGCATACGCGTTTCAACGAAAAGGCTGAGAAGGCTTCAAACAGTGTGCACGCTCCTTCTCGCCGACACGCCCCCAAGCTGCGAAGGTCATGACGACTGTATTTAACATGCTCTTCAATATGGTGGTGAAAATGTCCGATCAGAATTTAATAAAGTGTAACTTATAGCTGCTCGAAAGTCAATGAAGAAAAGTGACTTTTTTGCTCCCCCTGTAGTGCCTTAGGCCTTTGAATAGACTTCCTTGCCACTGAGGCAGCTGAACAAGACAGAGCCACGGAGGCTCATCTGACTATTCCGAGCTTCCGGTCGACCCACTAAGGCACTGGTAAAGGGAAAGCCCTAAGAGGAAACGTGTCATAAGAAAGAAAATCAACAACTGATTACCTGCATCAGCAAACTTAAGAGACCGGGCAAGAGCGTTATGTGTTACACCTCTGGGACAGCACTAACCCTGCTAGGTCAACGACTTTTTGAGCCATAGCCTTAATCCTTCTCTCACTCCATCCACACCAATCTACTGCCTAGAAGCTGGCTCATAAGTGCCCGTCACGACACCCAGTATGGCACAGCATTCTAGCATGAAGGCGTACGCTGAAGACACATTACAGTCGACCGCATTCTAACTCTAATCGACCCGGATCTATTCAAGAATAAGTAATCAAGTCTAGCGAGGATATTAAGTTGCTGATGTCGCGAAGTATGAGAGCTGATTAAATTGCGATTTTGTAGACAGCAGCTGTGATACAAAAGTTCATGAAATAAAAAAATCGCTAAATGAGAACAATAAACCCGAATGTCTTCAGGGAAGCCTTGGGGAAAAGATGATCTGAACTGGGTCACAGATGTGATGTGCAGTTACTGCGCAAGACAGACTGAAAGGAGTAAATCTTATTTAAAGCCTTCAAGACCCTTTTATCAGCTGTCTGGATTCTTTGTTCTTCTTACTCAGCAAACAGACATGGAGCCTTGGTTTGAGACCTGAAATGCGAAGTGATACAAATAAGTTTTCAAGAGACAATAACAATCATCAGACAAGATGATGGAGCAATCCAATAGAAACATTCTAATTATTGCATCTCCGCAAGGCTGCGTTCATATTTTGCGGCAGTGACCACTAGCGTTTTGAAGAGAACGCCGGCGTCAGTGACTAGGGAAGTGTAGATATCGATCTATTGAACGCCAGCGTCCACCAGCGTTCGCCAGTGTCTCGAGGAGACTACGGAAAAATAGGTATCGATTCAGCGAACGCCATCCACCAGCGTAGAAGAGTGGAGAGTATGGGGAAATAGGAGGGTAGCAAAGGGCTGGATTAGAACTGCACTACACTGTACACCAGGACTGCATAACTCTAGTGTTTTAACAGTTGCACGGTGAGGTTGCACAAACCACAATTTCATGACGCCTAATCCAACTGTTTGCTACCCTCCCTCTTCCCCATACTCTTCACTTCACACAGCTGTACGCTGACAAGCGCTGGTGGACGCTCGCGTTCGCTGGATCGATATCTACGCTCTTCTAGTCGCTAACGCTAGCTTTCGCTCGAAACGCCGGTGACGCTGATGGCCGCTTGTGGACGCTGGGTTTCGCTGGATCTGTCTACAGTCCCCTAATCCTAACATCCGATCGCTCGAGACGGTGGTGGACGCACGCTGTCGCAAAGTATGAAAGCAGCCCATCAAATCATATCTTCAATATTGCTCACCATAGTGGGGCGATGTCTGGCAACTTATCCGTCACAGCAGACATAACAAGCCTTTATCGTACAAGCAGTCCTATCTCTTTTCCCCAATTAATCGACCGTGATTTCCTCCTGAGCACATTAAGCAAAACAGTAGACAAGTCCGCATGTTAACCACAAAAGCGCAAAAGTTTGAGGTGGAACCCTCACTTCTTCTTCTTCTTCATCTTCACAATGCGCAGATGCTTCTCCATTTTGGTGTTCACCGGGAACGAGTTTCCATCTCGACTCCTTCAGTTCCTTCCCCTGAATACTTTGCAAATCAATATGGTCCAGTACTTTGTACTTACCGGATAAAAGCGAACTTTCATGGGATTTGCTCTTCCTCCGTCATTTGTCGCTTCAGGTTCCACTTCAAATGAGGTGCTACTTGGTGCTGCGGTCGCAGCACATCTCATATATTCATCAATTGTCTCCAGAATTTCCATCGCCTCCTCATCGTCTTGCGCAGCCAAGGCTTCAGCATTCATTCGAACAGTTGCACATCTCTGAAAGGCCTAACACTTTTCAAACCGGCAGGTATTTAGGTGGATTAAGGGGAGGACTCAGCCGCGCCTTGTTGTTAGTGTCCGTTCCCACAGCAACTCCGACCGCCTCCGCTAAAAGCTTAGAGACAAGGTTTTCACTCACGTCTGAGGACTGTCCTTGCAATGTTAGGCGAACGGGTCCACAGCTGCAATAGCGTGCTCTCTGCGCTAGAGTGTGAACGGGAACGGGGCAGTAGGGTAGTGCGCGTCTCCATAACCCGCCCGGGCTATCCTCAAAAAGCATTCTCAAGTCCTTGCGTCGGTGCCAAGGTTTCGCAGCGAAACACGGATTCAGAGGTAGAGAACAGACAGGGCGCAGACAAGTGGCGCATCTGTCTATGAGGGCGAATGGCTAATGGCTGGGCGTGCGGCAGCGCTAGGATGGACTGGAGTATCACAACCCTCCAGTCCAGCTGCTGTGCATTTCCGAGAGGTAAAAGTGGCACGCTACCGCAGCTGCGGACCAGTTCTCCCCACCCACGGCAAGACCAAGACCCTCGAAGCAAGCGTACAGTCTGTCTCCATGCTTTGGTCAGGGAAGGGGACACAAAGCTTTCCCAAGCACGACTGCACCAACCGGAAAAATTATCTCGACCCATTTTTCTAGTGAATGGACCTTTAAGCTCGAAGAACCTACGCTTATTATCGAGTTGAGCAACCGAAGTCTATGTTCCTTCCGTGGTTGCTCGGATACTAGTTCTTGTTCTTCATTCACATAAAATATTTCTTCTCCTCCATATTCTTGTTCGTACAGCTCCGATTCTCTCGGCTCCGGTAAAACAAACTCTTCTGACTCTTCGATCACAGTGTCGTAAGAAATATCCTCTTCTGTTGGCAATGGCAGTGGAGTCAAATCGCTGGCATTCTGTTCATCTGCCCGAGGACTGAGTTTCTTGGCGTAATACAACAGATCTGTTTTGGTGAGATAAGCAAGTTTTGACTCTGTATTACCAAATTCGATGCGAAGCCACTGGAAAACATTATCGATCGTATTCTCTGAAAAAGGAGAATGTTAGACATTGATATTGATTTGTCAACAAATGCACAGCAGCTTCACTACCTTCCAATAGTTGATACAGAATCTCTCGCTCCTCTTGATGATCCAACGTAGAAGTTCTGGTGGTCAGGCTGTGTCCGCAATGCGCCAAACGCTAGCCCTTTACAAACACTGTGCCGTCATTTCGAATATCTGCATTCAGAAAAGATGGGCAATGAAGTTGTTCTTTTCGACTGCCACGGATCCTTGTGTGACTTCCTAACAGCATTTTCCAGCGGCGGTTAACATCTTAATGTTCCGAGGAGTAAGGGCTAGCAGTGGCCTAAACAAGTAAATGTATTTGAGGGCAGGTAGAAGGAGGCACTCCACACCGTCTCTACTTTCCTTCCTTTGAAGGTAGAGTCATGCTTAGTATACTGTATGATTTCTTCTCTTCTCGTGCTTCCGGTGGATAATCTGGCAGTGAGACTTGTCTGTAATCGAGATAAGGTCGTAATTATATGCGGGTATAATACTAGACCTATCATGGCGATTGACACAGTCTCCTGCGGATTACCATGCAGTCGTAGAAAAAAAAACTTGGAACAAGCCCAAGTCACGCACATTTTAACTGCTTTACCTAAAAGTTTCAAAGTGTACATGAAAACGTTGTTTGCTCAAATCAAGTACTCTAAATCTCTAAAGAAGAGTTGGTTGATCAAACTCGTTGCAGGGACCGAATTTTGAAGATTACGGCGATGGACACTTTAAGAAGGGGAGGAGGGACCTACGGGTGGGCTCAGGGCTGCCAATGTTTGAGTCGACTTTTTTTATCTTCCTAGACGAGTCTACTACTCACTAGCTTTCTCCGCAGGCCCGAAAAACTCGGTTGGTTCAGGCGGCAGCCGATCTGGGCTTCGAACCCTGGACTGCGCTTGCGACCACTTGCCGTCTACACTATCTCATGTTAACACTGTTGACGAGCAACGCCGGTTTTGACTTTTCGGCCGCGTGGGACACGCGCACTTTTTCGAACGCGACAGGCGCGAGACGCATGCAATTCACGCGGTCCCACGAGGCGCCATTTTTTCCGAGGTTGGATCAGAAAATCTGATTTGGAGAGCAAGTATAAAGTAAGTCAACTCAAATACTAGTAGCATATAAAAGATTCACAAAAAGCCAGAACTTCGCTCAAGGAGATGCTTATTCAGGCGCAGAAAATGGCCAGAAATTTTGATTGCGTTGAGGATACTTTGGACTTCGACCAACTACTAATCACATCGGACGATGAAGAACTGACAAGAACAAGTGAAGAAGACGAAGTAGTGGATGGATTAGTGCGAAATGTGGGATCAGAGTCAGAAGATGAAGAAGAGTCTGATAGAGAGAGTGTTTCATCGTGGTCCAGTAACGCTTCGTCACATCACCCTTGGACTTTTGATAGGTATTCTGGTCCTCACGACTCTGTTTATGACCTTGTGTTGTGAACTATAAGATTCTAACGAACTTGTTTTTGAATAGTGACTGTTATGCGATCGTGATACCGAGAAGACCAACCGCTACGCGAAAGCAACAGGAACAAGGAGTTTCAAGCAAACCGAGTTCGCGACGAAAATGAAGAAATTTCATTGGTTTAGTGCCTGCAAACTGGACGTACTCCATTGTGTGTATAAATGGCGCCCGAGTCTTATGAGATTACTGGAGTTGTTGGCGCCAGCCTGCTTGGTGTCTTCATTCCACTGACTCGCCCAAATTACTGGGCAGACGAAGTCGTGGCTTCAGAGAGTCCTACTCACTTTCAGTAATGATTCGCTATGCCCCGTAATTAGTACCTTTCGGACGGCGTCCTGGCGATTCTGCTTATATCGCTAGATCAGGAGATTTGTGGAATTGTTCAACGACGCGTCCGCGCAGTGGTATTCCATGGGAGAAAAGCTGTGCATTGACGAGTCTCTCGTTCCATTCCGAGGAAGGATTATTTTCCGACAATACATTCCTTCCAAACGTCATAGATACGGCATCAAGCTGTTCAAACTGTGTGGTCAAGACGGTATACTATGGCACGGGCTGAGCGGAAACTATGTCGGTGCGTCCAAGAGACCCCATCAAGAGAGGGTCGCGTTCAGTTGCCTGACCACGAGTTGCCTACGAGCTGATGGAAGGATACCTTGATGACGGCGTCAACGCGAACACTGTGCACGGACAACTTCTACTCCAGCGTTGGACTTGCGGAAAAGCTGATTTCACGAAGAACTCATCTCGTCGGAACTTTGAGAAAAAACAGAAGAGGAATCCCAAAGGAAGTAAAAGATAAGAAACTGCAGAGAGGCCAATTGTACTACAAGCAGAAAAGGAACGGCATTTTGGTGCTCAAGTGGAAAGATAAGAGGGACTTGTACATGATTTCCACGAAACACGATGGCGCACTTGGATTGACTCAAAAGCCTAAAGTTGTGGAGACGTACAACGAGATGAAGTCATTTGTTGATCAGTCTGACCAAATGGCAGCTTACACACCATTTGTACGCAAAACATCGAAATGGTACAAGAGAATATTCTTCCATTTGATCACGCAAACAGCAGTGGTGAATGCTTGGAAGCTATACAAGGATATAATAGGGAAAGTGCGACTGAATGACTTCAAAATGGACTTGGTTGAGTCGCTGCTGAACCGTGAGCGTGAGAATGTTCCAGATCAGCCCCTTCCTACAAGACACGAGCTAGAAAAAGTACGAATGAGAAGGCGATGTTCCGGATGTTACTCCACAATTTCAGAAGAGCAGGGACGTGCCTGTAGCTATGAAAAAAACTAGGCAGGTAAACACTCGTTGCACTAGCTGCCAAAAATTTTTCTGTATCCAATGTTTCCATAAGAAACACAAATCGCGCCTTCTATAAGACAGCGATCTTTCACTACAATTTGTCATTTGATCCAAGTTTGTCTTTGGTTGTGTCCAGTATTTGTCTGTTTTTGAGAAAAACTTGAAGAGTTAAACCGATCCAAGCAAGGTGTGTTCTATTGCCCTCGGACGGAGTCTTTGCTAAAATAGTAATTACTAAACTATTCCATGGACCACGAGTTGTGCGAGTACACTGAGGATTGAACTATAGTATGAATATGGGAAAGTAAACAAAAAACCATGCACTGGTGAAAGATATGGATTTGTTGATCGTGAAGTCGTATACTATGCACGCGGTCCCACATGGCCTACAACGTCTCACGTTAATGTTGTCTGCACGGGCGGTCGTCAATGTGTTAACAAAAAAATTTCAAATATTATCTGGTATCACCACGGGGCTTATTTGTCGCCACGACCAAACACGAACACAAGTAGTGCGGCGCAAAAGTTCAGGCCTCATATGGGACTCACGAACTCGCGACGACTCTTCTGATTGGCGAGGGAACTATCATTACGCCATCGGGTCCGCTCTTACCACCTCAGCTCACAGCTTGTGCCACAGCAGAAGCCTTCCAACGTGTGAGCGTTGAAGGCTATGGCACAGAAAGTCACTGAGCTGATAGGATAAGAGCGGCCCCGTGAAGGTGATGGCTGCGCCGCCCGGCTCAGTAGTTGGCGGGTTCGGAAAGAAAGGTCTAATCCAACTTTTCCCTTGACTCAGTATTCCTGTGACAAATTCCGGAGCGCGAACTGCGGCATTAAGCAATATCATAGTAAACCAACTGGCGCTCGAGCACAGTCTGGATGGCGCCGACCGTCTGCACTCTATATTTAAGTCTACTAGGGGAAAGGACACAGAATCGTTATGAAGTACCTCCCCCACACATGAATGCATAGCGATCGAAAATAAAACTACTGAATCAAAAGTTACCCCATCCTCTGCTTTAATCCCGATTTTCTGCGCATAGCCGATCTCACCGAGAACGAAGTGCAACGCTTTTGGCACTCTTCTGCTAGCCATTGCTAAATAGTACAGGTCACCATATTTCACAAAGGAGGCAAAATGTCCGAAACCTTTTACCTGAAACTCATCTTCATCGATGAAGAGCTTTTCAAAAACGGTATAGTCCTGAGGTCGTCCATCGCTCGTTTCGGCAGTGTTTTTCTCACAATAGCTTATGCGAGCAGGCTTCGCGTGGAGTAAAGCACGCGAGGTGTCGCGTTCGGCACAATCGGACAAACAACATTATGGCAACGTGCGGCTCTGATCCTTTCTTCCGTCACTTGCTGATGAAGCTCCTCACTGTGGTGGTGAACGTTCGTCAAATGACGGTGCAGACTATTTTTATGAATTTTTCTTCGAGCAAACAGGACAGTAGGTTCGGATGGCGGACCATACAGCTGTAATATAAACAATTATAGCATTAGTAATCGAAGAACTAGTGCAAAGAATCTTTTCCAATGTTCAAAGATAAGACAGTCCCCGCCTCAAGTATTCGTAAGCGTCCTTCCTTTTGTATGTGGTCTAGCCTCCGATTCCATGACTCTCCCTTTTCGCGGCTTTACAGTAAGTAGCGAAGGCGCTGTGACCCTCACAAGTGGCAGTTCTGACGCCTCCGTAGTTGTCCCCCCGCACCGAAACTCACCACTCTTTCCTGAACTGGGTTCAGTTTCCACACCGTAATTTTTTTTTGCTGTTAGATGTATCAGATGACGCGTGAGAACGATCAGTGAGCAGGAAATGGCTTTGCTGCCATGAGACGAGCAGCCTCTCCGGAAAATTCGTCCGGAGAGGCTGCCAGGGTGCTTACTTAGGGTATCCTCCATGATTTTTTTTCTGGTGAGTCTTTCAGCGAATACAGGTCTGCAATCGAATGCCACTATCCACAATTTACAATCTTGGAGCTCTTTACTTTTTCATAACGTTGAGACAATCCCACGATTGTGCACTAAGGATAGTGGCGTTCGATTACAACCCTTTAGTCGCTAAATGACTCTCCAAGAAAGAAGAAAGCAAAAAATCAAGGAGAACACCTTACGTAAGCACTTGTGGCAGCCACCGTTTTCCGGACCTTTTTATGCTAGCAAAGCGATATACTACCGCCTCTGGCTTAATAATCGATTCGCGTCATCCAATGCTAACGCCATCTATAAGGGAAAAAAAAACGAAAAACATGGTGTGAAAATGAAGATTGACAGAAAATAGCCTTTGAGTTCAGTTGGGCGGGGCAACTACGGGGCGTCAGAACTGCCACTTATGGTGGCTTAGCGCCTTCGCTACTTTACTGTGAACCCGCCAAAAGGGCAACATTGATGGTTAGATATTGCGGACCAGAACACTTGGACAAAGGATGCCAAAGAGTGGATTGAGCCCGGGGATTGCTCTTGGTGGATGCCGTGCTTATCAATAATGCTCAGGAACCTACGGGACAAATCAGTTGATGCTTCAGATTACGCCGCTTTCTTTTTTCGATACGTGCATTTCGTGCATTGGCTTATCGAGAATAAGAGAATCCGCGACATGCGAGTTCTAAGAGAGTGCGTTTCAAGGAAAGCAGGAGTATCGTTACACCAACTCGAAAAAATAGAAGAATATGCGATGTGACATTTCAAGGGAAAGGAAGGAGTAGATGGGAATCGAATCGACA